GCGGACTGCGTATGCAGCGGAGCTTAATCTGCTGACCAGGGAAGATATATGTGGAAACCATTGAAGTTTACTATCTAAGGTCACTCCCAAGAAGACTGCTTTATTAACAAGGTCTAACTTTTCTCCATTTATTTCTATGCTTGGACTAGTCGATTTTACGTTAGGTAATTCAAATTTAACACATTTTGTCTTCTTCTATCACTGTTTAGAAGGGTTTCTTAACCATTTTTTTGTCATGGACCCCTCTCAAAATTTCAAAGAGCACACGGACCCTTCCTGAAAATATATATAAAGGAATAAATGTATATTTGACTTAGACTTTGATGGCTGTTAAGGGGCGCGAAAATTCAAAATGTTCACGCACAGTTCCTATTTATTCACAATATATTCTATACCAATTTTTATATTAATATGCATTATGTTAGGTGTGCTCGCCATGGGCCCCCGGCATTTATTACACGTCCATAGACCACAGGTTAATAAACACTGGTTTAGAGCTATCTATTTAAATCAGGGACCTGTGGTCCATGTAATGAACGCTGGAAGTCCAAGGCGAGCCTACCTAACATAACAAATGCAAATTGGTTTACAATATGTTGTGGTTAAATAGGTAGGTACTGTGCGCCATTTGTATTATCGCATCCGAGCTACGAGCGGGCGAGACGCGCGCCAATGCGACCCGCGAGCCTTTCTTCTTCATCTTTTCGGAAAGGGTCCGTGGGTTTTTTGAAATTTTCACAGAGGTCCATGATTTTTTTATTTTTTTTAAACATTCAACATAGCCCCGCACTAGGGAAACCCTGTGTCGCGGGTGCCATGGACACACACATAGACAACCACAAATTACACCCAAACTCACGAGAGAAATAAATGTAGGCCATACAAATATTTCTCCCGGCCCGGGAATCGAACCCGGGGGCCTCTGCGTGGCAGTCCGGTATGATAACCGTTCGGCCACGGAGGCAGTTAAAACGTACGAGCGTAACGTTAAGAAATCCAAACATTATTATTATTGTACGAAAGTACAATCTCATGAATTATTAAGTCATGGAACAGAAACTGTTGTTTATGATGCTAGTTATACTATATTCCGGTGAGGTCGTGATTTACAAATAACTCTGTACATATGGAAAATTAGAAATTAAGATCTTACCTCTGTCCTTTGTTGTAATCGTTTATTGAGTTCATAAACTCTGTAATCTGGCTGACCAAAATACGGTGCGTGCCTCCTGAAAATTGAAATAAAAAACTTGTAAACAACATGTAATCTACGTAATTTTTTAACTGTTAATATGTAGTTCTAATAAAAATAAATGACAGCATATTTTATAACTACTGCGCTGAAGTAGGTTTTGTGCGAGAAATTACTCTAAGGCAGAGGTTCCTAAACTTTTGTCTTGTATTTATTTCTGTTTTGCGTAGACCACTGCCTTTCTAATATGTATTTTTTATAAATTCATCTACTTCAAATGTGTTTTTGACTGCGACACAGTGCTACTCACTTCGATATATTTAACAAAAAAAACACGAGAAATCATTGGTATATGCCATTGACTTACAAATAAATGGACGACGGGTCTAATACCACGAAAAAAATATCCCAAGTCAACCTATTTAAACGTAGTGACATGTAAAGGAATATGAGAAAGCTAAAACGTTGAATTTAAATTGTAATGTCATCGCAGTACTGTCTAATTTTGCTTGCTTCGCTGTCAGTCGAACAAACGAAGACAAAAGCGTGAATGACGCTCTGTATACGATTTTAACGCCCTATAAGTTCGGACACTTTTTAGCGCGGACCCGACGTCCATATAATTGTAAGTCAATGGTATATGCAAAGTATCTATTGAATACAGCGGTTTTCTTGTAAAATTTCGAGGTAAGTTTGTGTTTTTTTTTCTATAGAAAAATTTTTAGCAATCATATTTTCACACCGTATAGTAATCAGTGTATATCCTCAAGTTTTCTGTATATTTTTTTCAAAGCGATTAATTCAACGCTTTCACTGTTATGCAGAATTAAGCAAAGCCATTCGAGGTAGGATAGACTCTTAAGTTTTATACATTTATCTAACCGAATTATCTTGTTTGTTATGAAATGTTTACTTCAATATACCCGCGCCTTCATCTGCCTGGAAGGAAAGTAAGTCCTTCGAGTAGCCACTGGTCATAATTTTCGTAGTTTTTTTTTTATTTTTATAATAACACACACTCAACATAGCCCCGCACTAGGGAAACCCTGTGTGTGTGGACACACAGAAATAAATGTAGGCCATACAAACATTTCTCTCGGCCCGGGAATCGAACCTGGGGCCTCTGCGTGGCAGTCCAGCGTGGTAACCGTTCGGCCACGGAGGTAGTTAAACGATTGGACCTCCGTACAAACTTTTATCTGCTATTTCACCCCCTTTAATATTTATTTTTGTGACAAAAAGTAACAATGTCCTTTTCCTAGGCCCCATCTATCTCTATACCAAAATTCACTAATATTGCGTCAGCGGTTGTGACGCCAAAATGTAACAGATAGAGTTGCATTCGCATTTATAATATTAGTTTGGGTTATAAAAAAATATAATGTATTTAATTAATTTTGGTCACCACCTGTAGGACTAGCACGATAGGACGCGACTTGCGCAAGAGCGACATAAAGCGTGAGATTCTTCTATACTCGATCTCTATGCGAGAATAGCAGAATCTCGCGCATTATGTGCTAGCCTTGCTAGTAATATAAAAAATAGGTTCCACCACAGACATATACCCAATTTTTTTTATAATACCAAGTGACGGGACGAATAAGTCGCGTGTCTGGTGGTAAGCGACACGCCTGTCCATCCGGAGCAAAACAAAAAACACTGGCCTTAACAAGTGGCGCCCTAGCGACAATTAGACACAACATTTATTAGCCCACAAGATACCAGTACACTTTATATCAATTGTTAATTATATTTCACACGTAAAATTGAGCACAAAATGTAGTAAATTACTTTTAAATATTTATAATAATTGATGATACATGGAACATTTCAGACAAGCCGATGGGAATGGAGTTATATGGACTCCTCGCTACTGCTGTCCATAACAGTTTCAGTGCCACTCAAAGTTTTAAAACACAAATATCTGAGGGGCACTGCCGCTGCTCACGTCACCCTGAGACATAAATTGACAAGTCCCATGGGCCTGTAATTTCACCATGTTCGTGGGTTCCACTCTCGTGGACACCTGTTAGTCTCATGTCTACCGATGACATGGATGACTTTCCTTTGTTGGTTGAAGTAGACCCCTAGAGGTCAATACACACAACTTTGGGAATCACAGTTCTATTGAATATTGAATTAAACGAATGAATCAAAAAGGGTTGAGTTTTGATAGTGTACTGATTGAGTAAGTGAGTTCATTTCTCTCTACTAACTCTGAACATAAGACGGCATTGTAATTTATTATAAGAAGCCATAGCGTTAGCAGGTCTTCAGTTGATGAGGCTATTCTCAACCTAAAATACTCAAGTAGGACTTTGTTGATGGACGCAACAACTCTAAGGCGTAATTGGGAAGGATCAGACTGAAGACCAAAGTTGTTGACGCGGTCAGATAAGGAGAGCAGGAAATTGAGCTAAATAAGAATTCTTTGTATTATGAGTACTAGAGTACCGGAATTCACTCTGGGGCACTTCCCAGAACACCCACGCCAGAGATAATAGAGAAAAAATCGTTTACTAAATTGATCCTACCGAGAATGAACTCGAGATCTCCTCATTGCCCTCAGTGCAAACCATTGGACCTTACATTGATTTCCGGGTTTTAAAACTTGAACTGTTTTTTTATTAAAGCAGATTAACATTACGAAATCGTAATGGTCCGGAAAAAAGGGCGATTGTGACAAAAGCTCAAAACCTAGAAAATAATGTTAAAAAAAATAAATTTTAAATATCACTTTCTCTTACGGTATTTTCATACCTTAACCACCTACGAAAAACTATAAATAGGACAGCCTTTATTTTCCTGGTGACGTCAATATACATACCCAAATTTTTTTTAAATTTCACATGCGCCCTTTCAACTAGCGGCGGTAGAATAAGTTGCTAAGAATGAAATTGTAACTCAACAGCTTTGGCAGAATCAGGTAAATGACAATAATCTCCTAATTTTTACCGAAAATAAGGATCCGGTAACGGGTGGTAGAGCGGCGGCGGCGGCGCGTACTCATGGTACTGCGGGTGCAGGTGCGGGGGGTGCGGCGGGTGGTGCGGCGAGAGATGGTGGCCGTACTCGCGGTACTCGCCCTCGCCGCCGAGCGAGCCCAGCGCCACCGGCATGTAGGCCACTTTGTCACCGCGCCATCTAACCGACGCTCACACGAACTATCGCGAAGAACTTCCGAAACCTCTTTTATTTCTATTCACTCCTAGTACTTTCCAACTCGCAAAATTGTTATATTTTTTCACTTTGATTACTATATTGTTTTTAATTAATTGCTAACAAAATACTTTAACACTTATTTGTTTAAAAATCACCAACACACACTTAATTAGTATTAAATTTTAAATAAAACTACTATAAATTTTAACGTTTAATTTGAATTGTGTAATACAGATTCTATTTCTGAAACACTGGCTTTGGACACACATTGACTACGAGTTCATAGCTGCACTACACTGTCCTAAAAGATTAGCATAAAATCAATAACCACAACCTTATAACACTGGTACCTCTAAACATGGGCATCGTTGCCCATGCTCGAAAAATTTTGAACTTAAAAAAAATACATAAAAAAATAGCAATCGTATACTACGCGAAGCCGTAACGAATGACTGATAAAAACTATTTCGAATTTTTCGCGCGAGAAGTGTCATCCTAGCGTGAACAAAACGTCGCAACTCCTTTATATACTTTGCAGTGCTATGGGATTTTCACGGCTACGCCAACAGCATAAAGGCGATAAGGGTATAGATAGCGCTCTAAAGCCGTCGAGCTGGCAACGTCGCGTCAGCTGGCCGAGCTAGTAACGAGGCACGTTCAGAAAGGTCAACCACGGTTACAATTTTTTTTACCACCGGCTATTTTTGTGGGCGTTTGTTTATTTTTTGTTATTATTATTATTGATGCACATCTTGATCCCGTTTTGGAATTCCATTGGTGATTCTAGAGCTTTGGATTAGTGAGTTTATTGAAACAATAAAAAAATGTTATTCAGTTTGTTGTTTATTTCTTGAAGTTGATTTGAAGCAATTCTTCGAAATATTTGCTTTGTACCTTTACTTACATCATAAAGCGAGCTAACTACGCATAGTACAATAAAAAAACAAATGTTTTACCAACACCATACCAAAACTGAAACATAACAACGTAAAATTGAAATGAAAAATTGTCATTCATATTAACATAAATAAATTATTCAAAAATATTTAAAAAAAAGACTATTGTTTTCACCATAGCAAGGCCTCAGAACGCACGCGACGTTGCCGCTCCGTGCGTTCGCGCCATACTTTTTACTGTTTCTTAGCACATAGAACGCTCATTACGCTGGCACGCACACATAGAAACCGAAGCTGATATTGTTATGCCGTTGTGTACTCTGTACATAGTGCAAGATGTACATTATATACATTCCGCGAGCTACAACCGTAGATATGTAGGTAAGATCGCTGTATACAAATCAAACAGTACATCTATAAATAACTGAGGAGACGTGTCCATGAAGCATGCACGCGCCACTTTTGACTCCAAAAAGTTTGTATATTTATGTGTTATGGATTATGACAAATTTTTCCTGTAAAACTTATTAAAGTGAAATTATTATATCACGTAATTGCATTGACGAAATTATACAAAAAACAACTACTAGTGACGGACGTCCTGTGACGTTCACAATCGAGAAATCATTCCGTCATCGATTAATTTTGAAAATGGAATTTATGACGTGTTGCGAAATATTCCCGTGTTTATCTATTGCGATGCGCCACACCGGATGTTGAATCTGAGGTTTGTCAACAGCCCATTATAATGTGATTTCAATGTAATTATACATGTAAATCGTTGACATTACTTTTGACGAAATATAAATTATTATTGTAAAAAAACGTATCAGTGTTACTCTTGCAGTAAGCAAAATATAAGCCGGAAAGTCGATAACACGGAATAAACGGACAATAAAGATTTGAATAAAAAGGGAACGTAAACTTCACTCGGATGCCAGTTGAAGCCTTCCGTGCATTACAGTAGTGAAAAAAGCAATTGAAAAACACAATACAATGGTGAACGATCACGAGGAAATCCCACATAGCGAGATCTCAAGGAGACCGCCTTGAGTTACCACGTTATCACGCCCGAAACTGATAACAGCTCAAAACAGAGCCCGCACCGACGTTACACACACTTCGGCACCGAATCGAAGCATAAAAACACTATCAACTGTAACGCGGTTGTAAAACAATAAATTAGACAATGCACTACGATATAAGCGTCGCAAAAAAAAATAATCCAGCAAGAAACCGCGGACGTGTTAGCGTTCCGTCAGTCAACTCGGAATGTGTGTCAGACCCGGCGAGTCATTGACTCCGCACTTAGCTAGGCACCGCACATTGCATGGAGCGGCACACGTAAACAGTACGGACACGTGCGCGGAAAACACGGACCCTAGTGAAAATCGAGAGCCGACTGCCGCCTAAACTGAAACCTTGTGTACATAACGTCCGCTGCACCGCGCGACCACCGCGGAACAAGCAATTGCGCGTAAAAATATCGCTAACTGTACTAGCGAATCGATAGTTTCAGAAAAACACGCGTCCACTTTAACGCTTCCTGCTCTATCCAAGTGGAATCGTAATCGACCGATGAAACTGCAGCGTAAATCGTTTGAAAAGGGAACGCTAGAGTTACCGGCGCGGCGGCGCGTATACTGCACCTATGTAATTCAATACATAAGAGAAGTGTGCCGCGTTCTGACGGACGAGTGACGAACTGTCAAGCGCTCGGGGAACATCGGTTAGAGTCGCACGAGATCGGGTCTAGAGGCGGCAAGTTCGGTTCGGATATGCTACACGATTAGATTATGTCATAGTGATTAATAGTAAAAAAAACCGGTTGTTGCGTCAGGTCAATAACTTCAAATCAGCTACAATGGATGAGAATCAAGTCTGACCACAATCAAGTGGTGGGTTCGAGCTAAATTTAACTATATCCAGATAAGATAAAGTCTTCAAGATAGAGTTAATGCGTATTTTAACACTTGTTTATGAGACAATCCATTTTGTAAAAGATAAAAATCAGCTTACAATCATTTTCCCATATTCCATCCAACGAACTTGACGCGTTACGCGCAATTCTTTGCTTTTATAGACAATAGCCAGTTTTGTTACGATAATTAATAAAGTACATGTATTTGTATTATAATAAAATTGTTTCCATTGATTCAATTCCACGACACTGATCGTCAATCATAGATGGGCAAGTACCCGGGTTTCAGTCCTTGTTAACGCCGAGTTTAAATCGGGTTAAAACTCATTAGCGCCCGAAATCGGGGGCAAAGTTAAATTGAGTTTTAGGAAATGAAACTATTTTTCCGGATTTAAATCGCGCATATTTGTTTTTTCAAACAAACCGACGTTTCGGGCCCTGGAATAGATTCATTTCCTATGTGTAACAATCGCGAAAACCTAAGAACTCGATAAATTGAGTTTTGTTAAAATGTAATGATTATTACAAAATTGTTTCTGACATGGACTTTGCCTTTCTGTTGAAAATTGACTTGAAAATGGTATTGCAATAAATCGATACAAAAAATCGTTACGTCGTAGCAATTGAATCGATCTTCATAAAAAACGAATCGTTGCAATGTCTCCATCCTTAGCAGTGAGAATCCACAGGATTGTAAGGTGGTATTTCGATGAAGTTGTCTCTTTTTCGTCTAAAAAAGATTTTTACGTTGAAATTTATAATAAGTACGAAATATTTTAAAATAAATGTTTTTTTAACCGACTTCAAAAAAGGAGGATGTTCTCTATTCGACTGTATGTTTCTTTATGTATGTTACGCGATAACTCCGCCATTTGTGAACCGAGTTTGATGGTTCTTTTTTGATAGAAAGAAGGTACCTCAGAAGTTAAATTTGAAGAAAATATTCGACCTCTAAGGGTGGTAAACTAGGAGATGAATGATTTTTGAGATCGGTTTTTTTTAGTACTGAGGTTAGGTTATTTTAGTTATCCTTCATTCAGCCTAAACACCACGATTTTAAAACATTCTGCCAAAATATGTTTGTGACCTTAACTTGCTGTAGAAAATAGGTTCGTTATATATCTCTGCTGCGTCGTTGTTTTAAGAACGTCGTGCTATTGTTGAGGTGAAAGCCAGTGAAAGCAAACTGTCGGCAATCGACGCTTCAATGGCGATGTAAGATCTTGAGACTCGAGAGTTAGATTGCACATATTTGGTTATATTTAGATGTACACTGTAACTGTAATACAATACTGAGATGTGTGTGGATTTCTTGACACATGTAAGTAATTTAACAAACGAAAGCGTGTACAAAATCCTATAAGTTTCCAAGGTCCCAAAAAGGTCCAACTTAGGCAATATAAAAAAGTGCAACGCCTACCACCACAAAAAATAAGTCAAAACACGTATTTTTTATACTAACTTAACACAAAAATATCACAAGGAAAAAATATACCTTTGAATTATATAGATAATGCAGGTTTTTTTACAAATGCGGTAGCATCCTCTGGACAGCATCAATTGCTTCCGAGGCCCCTTACCCCTAGGACTCTTCAACGCCCACTGGTCCACTTTAGGAAACTATCGTTTTGGCCATAGCCCGCCTCGTTGGCTCAATGCGGGTTGTGAACCTGCTTCAACGGTTTTCCTTTACCGAAAAGCTGAAAAGGCTAGCTTAGGCGAATACGGTGGATGAGGTCCCAATCTAACTGCAAGTTATCGACGGCTCTGCAAAGATCTGTGTGATTTGAGACACTATCGTGATGGAATACGACACCTTTACAGTTCACTAGTTCTGGACCCCAAGGCTGTTAATTTTAAATTATCTGAGATGTGTGTCATTAAAGGGTCAACGACAGGATTTTGTACGTTTGGTGTTCTGCTAAAAGTTAAGAATAGTGGCTTGTCAGTGGAGACATTGAGTTACCATTCAATAGTCATTGCATTTTTTTTTAATTCTGCTTTTAGTGGCGAGTCGATGGCACGTCTCTCGCGTAGTGTCTTACTAATTATTTGAGATAAAGTAATGTATTCAATTTGAAGACTACATTGCCGATTAAACGAGGTAAAAATTAAGATATGCTAAGTGTTTAGCGTGGTAGTTTTATTAAGGCGACGTCGATAGTTTATGATTGAATGAATTAATGCCGTCACTGCCATTCCAGTGACATTATTGAGACTCAACACTGCGACTAGATTTTAGCAGAATAACAAATATTGTAAAAATTGCAATATAATATCAGTGGAGTCTCAATTTACGGTGTGACTAGTAATTTCAAGAGAATTATTGAGGTTTTAATTAATTATAAACTAGAAATTTTTTCGCCTTTTAAGGAAATGAAGGTACTTTTTCGATCTAAATCGCGTAAAAGGACACATTAATAAAAA